TGTATCAAGTTGGGATACCAAGATTTTTAGGCAAAAAGCTCATTGTTTTATGCTCCAAACCAAAAGCATTTGTTCACCTAAACACATGGGGATCTAAATGGTGTTGTAGCACTAAATATGATATTGTAAGATGGTGCCTTTGTTTCCTTGGCTTTTCAGAACCTTTTCTAGACATTTAAATGTCTTCAGCTGAGGCAGAACCATCAGCGAACATTTGGAAGACAGAAAGGAAAGCAGAGGTGTTTAATCACAGGCTGAAGCCTGCTCTAAGGCAGGGACTGGCAAGCTTCCAAGAATGGTGCACCAGACAGTCCCCCTTTCTTCCTCAATTTAGAAGATTAAGCATGTTGGGAAATGTTGTTTTTCAAAGAGCCAAGATGTTGCCAACCTGCTTACCAGCAGTGTTCTGCCTCAAGCAAAGCAGATGCTTTCAGCTTCTACTGAGTCCAACCTGCCTCTGTGTTATCCAAAGTCTGACCATGCACCCCTTTACCACCCACTCCACAAGTTATGTACCCTGCCATAGCATCTGGCTCATGAGTTTGCTGAGTTTTGCCCAACATCTGAGAGAATAGGCATTAGTTGAAAAAGACAGCTCTGGAATGTTTTGGATAGCTAATCTCTCCCCTTTTCATATATCTGTAAGATCCAGGGAACTGGGTTCACAGAAATTCTGTGCTCATATTTTACGAGCAAAGATGTAGAAGAAACTTCATGATAGTGCAATGAATGAAATGAATACAATGTATTATATACAGTTTGTGCACTTCAATTTTATTATAAATGGCTATTAGGGAGACCTAGACTTTCAATAATTCTTTTCAGTTAAGTGCAGATTATAACTGATTGGTTTGGCACAAGAAGATAGTGCAAACTGGAAAAACTAAAATGGGACAAAAGACCTAATGTGGAGGCTGGACACATTTTTCTAAGGGGTTCAGAAATGCGAAAGTGGGACCATCTGTGCTCGCTTCTCTTGGGGTGTAACATCTGGAGGAGGGACTGCCTACAGCTGACAGTTGGAAGAATGAAAGGCGACAGGACTGGACTGCTTTAGGATGTTACATATGAGCAAAGTGAAACAAAGTTCTCCAGCATGTTTAGCAGCTTTTGTGTCATGTCCAATGGTCTTTTCCTTTATGTTCCTTTCTCCATTTGATCCCTTGACAATTTCTCAGCATATCTCACAGGCCTTTGCTCTCGAGCTTGTCTTGCAACACAAACTCTTCCTTTCTTTGGGCACTTTGCCTGCCGCTGGAATCCCTTGACAAGGCTAAAGATGAAGAAGGATGTCTGCCTTCTCTTTCCTCAGGTTTATCAAACGATTAGTAACATCCCTTCCTCTGCCGGCTGTGCCATGCAAGGTGCTAGGAGAACAGAGAAATCAAAGGAATAATAATTAAATTAATAAGTGTTAATAAAGCACTAGGTTCCTCATATTTTCAATCCCATTGCCCAACTGCCAAAATTCAACCTCTTACACTCTCTTAAGTTACAAAATACTCTCTTAAATTACAAAATCTCAAACATCAGACTTTTTCCCAAGTTGGGCTCTTGTTCCATATTGTAGCAATACCCTTTAACAAAACCATAAGAAAATGTATTTTTCTAGAAAAGGCCAGCATATTAAAAAAAAAAAATCACAAAAATTAATATTTCCATAATTATATCTTTAAAAAGCAGAGAAGTATTATTAAAGAAAGGCAAAATGATAACTGTAGAAAGGTACAGACAGTGCTGTACGTTCATACAATAGCTGCTTCTGGGAAAGAAATGCTACAAACACAGATGCCTGGGGAAAAGTGCATGACTAACATGCATACTCCTTATGAACACCAGCTGATAACCACAAACCATTTTCAAAATAAACCAAATTTTGAAAGCACGATGTATGCCTTTTTGTTGTTGTTGTTTAACAATAAAGTGTACAGCAAGGAAAAAAGCAAAAAGAAGAAAGCTGAAAACCTTTTACAGCTCCTGCAACCACAATCATTTACACTTAGAAAAAGCTCCTTAACCTCAACTGGTAAGTATGTTCAAATATTTTTATATACGTGAAGTTAAAAAACTTAAGGTATTAACCAGCTTTGGTCTCAGTTTCTCCTTTCCATTTTTACTTCACAAAACTAAGCCTTCCTGAGGTAGTGCCTGTATCAATTATCCATCCTGTTGTATCCTCATAAACTGGCAAGAAAGCACAAATGTGAGGCAGCAGCAATTGAAAAGTTGGAAAATTTAGCATAGACCAGTATCAGGACAGGGCTATATAGTGCCTTTGGCATCCACAGGAGTTTAACACAGTTGGTATGAACAAGCTTCTTCACAGATGTAGCCTGGCTGCAGTTTCAGCTGTACCATGAGAAAGGCAGAGCCTGTTTAGAGAACAACAGCAGCCTTGTGCACAAACTGCTGTACTAAAATCCATGGGATATTTCCACTACTTGGAAAAGGCACTTCCAAATTTACTTGAATCTGCACAAAAGAGTACAAATAAGAACATCATGTTTCTTTGTACTTACCAAATGAGGTTCCCTCTGCAGGACTGTCGATCTGTTTTCCTGGGAGGCATCGTATTTGATCTTTCACAAAAGAGTCTTGGCTGTCCAGGAAATTTCTCTTCTAGTTAGGGTCCATAAGTGCCTGTGTAGCTTCCAGCTGTGTTTGTGCTTTAGTCTGGGCACAATGTTCGCTACTCCAAGAGAGCCTCTGCCAAATTCAGTTCATCTCCATGCAGCACACATGTCATAGAAATGTTTTTCTGAAGGCTTTTGTATTTCGTGTTCTTACTAAATCTGCATCAGTTTTCTTGACTTTGATACACATCCCTGACTTATTCTCTCCTGAAGATCTGTTCAACTATCTAGTGCTGGGTGGTGACAGTGATCTCTTAGCTACTGGGAACATAACCTCAATATGACCACTTATCTTTTCACAGAGAGGGTCCAGGATCTTTGTTGGCAATGCAGGGGATGGAGGCTGCGGTCAGATTTAGAAGACTAATTTTTACAAAACCTGGATCTGCAGATGCTATTGGTATATCCCAATATCTAAAAAGGAGGAAGACAGCTGGTCTGGAGGATAGTAAAGCAGTGTGTACATAGAAAAGCTACTAAAGCAGTATCATGAACCTGGAATTGGCATCTGTTCACACTGATCTTATAGTGATGCGGCTTATTCTGAAACAGAGGTATGTCACTTCAAGGCAAATAAACTGTAGTTTGACAACACAAACTAACAGAATTTGTGAGGATACAGGTTCAGTTAGTATTAATCTTAAGTATAAAATCTTTCCAGTTTAGACCAGGAAATCAGTTTAACAGGTAAGATCCCAATTCTACAGACACTTAGGCACATGTTTAACTTTGGTTCATTACTAATTCATATCATTCATGTGAATGAAGATACTCACTTCTTTGAAGTTAAGCATAGGTATATATACATGACAAGCCAGATTACAAAAATGGAGAGAGAGTTGCAAAGACGTATTTTGAGCATGTCTAAGCATACAGTACTGAAATGTTACATCATTAAACAGCACATACCCAACAGAATCTGAGGGGGGCGCTGAGGGGTACGATCCAGATGCTGGGGTGGTCTCTCCTAAGGAGGCCTCCTCCTGTGGTATGGGGTGATGTTCAAAGAACTTGGAGACAAACAGCAAACTGTGAGCAAGAACAAAACAAAAACAACCTAACTTGTGCAAAACCCAGAAGCTTCACAATGCACTCAAAGATTAAACAAAATTATTTACTTGGCAAAGGATCAAATGATCATTCCTTAAAAATACCTTTGTGGAAAGTAAATTTTTAATCTTTTAGTTGAAATTGGAAACATCTGGTTCCTCAAGAATGCACAACTTACACCTGTATGTTGAGTATATGAACTTATATTTGCACTTATGCAGTGCCAGATGTCAAACAGATAAAACTATGTTATCGATAAGCACTGAGCACAAATTCTAGAGATGCTCAAGAAAACAGATGTAAATACCAACATAAGCAGAATTTAAATTTACTCATGGGGGAAACCCTAGAATTTAAAATGATTCCTTATACGAAAGTCTATTTAAAAGACTTAATAACCTCTGCTGAAACCAATCAAATAGAACACAGAGCCAGTTTACACCAGATCCTTAACCTACATCAAATTAACTATAATTAAATTCAAGAACACATGACTGTTTGGGACATTCTCCTTTTATGTTTCTGACCTAGGCATCAAACTCACTAATGGATTATTTTCAATCACTGTAAAACCAACTGCAATTTCACCACATTAAACTAGTGTCTCTTCACATTTTCTTCATGTTAAGAGAATAAACCTGTGTCTAAACCCACATCTAAACATTTAAACAGGGCTCTAGCCATCACATAATAAAGAACCAGTTTTGATTAAGAACAACAACTGTGAACAATGAGAAGCCTGTCTGATACAGTCAAGTGCTCAGCCACCCCATTCATGCTTCAAAGAAAGCATTTCACAGTCCAGCAAAAAAATATGAACTGGTTGTCTGAGTTAGCACAGAAAGAACATGAATTATGCGGCCTCACAAGAACAGGTCAACTCCTATGTTTTTTTCAGGCACCTCCTCTGACTTCCTGAATTACGGATTTAACACTGACAACGGTAAGCTTAATAAAAAGCTCAACTTTTAAAACCAATTGTGATTACTTACTCAAGTTGGTCATAATTAACACACATCAGTGGCACTTCTGTACTACAGCGCTGGTGAAATTTGTAGCCACATGTCTGGCACCGGAATCCCTGGAAAAGCAGCTTTCGACAAAAGTCGCAGAACGCTAACGTGAAGAATGTTTTTCGTACCTACGTTGTCAGAAATAATCATAATTAGAGTCCTTTTTAAGCCTAACATACGCTATTTGCTTTTACCTCCCTCAAACACACTTACAAGCCTCTTTACACTGGAGCTACAGTCTTATGTATCAAACACATTTACATAAAAGATTTGTCTCCTTTTTGAAAGAGTCTTCATGCATGAAATTTTTCTTTCAGCTATTTATTAGAATTCATGCTTCACTTAATTAGCAGTAAGAAAACCAGCACCTAACCTGAAGGAAAACACTGCACTGTTATCATGCTAGAGACAAACATTCAGAATTTAACTGGATACAACCCATAAAAACAAAAGCTGCTGAAATATTATCTCATCTTCTCATTTTTCCAGGAGCCAAATGATGTTTCTACCGGACACTCACAGGACTGGAAATACACATGACTTGTATATATGGCTTCTATATATGGTTACATAAATAGTTGTAGTTTTGATTATTGAATCTTAGAAACATTTAAAATCACGAAAGGGTGAACATGTATTACCCCCATATTATGGGGGGGGGAAATGATTTAGTTTCATTTTCAAATTTAGCAATACTCAGTATAAAACCACATTCTAGTTGTATTACTACATGTAGTAATGAAAATTTCAGAAGGATATAAAAAAAAAAAAAAAAAATGTTAAGCCTACTACACTTTCATCTAACTAGCCATAGCCAAACTAGCCTGTTGGAGTAAAATAGTTTAAACAGATTGCAAACACAATCTCAGGTTTGTATTTAAATAAAAGGTCCTTCTTGTCAATGTGACAAACGCTATTTCCAGGATTTTGTATGTAGCTGCACCAGTTCAGATGGATTCTGTTTAGCAGCTTCCGTTTACTTGGTGCCTTATCAGGTCAAAACATATTTGTGCACTAGCATCACTGATGATGTCAGCACTGCTCTGGGAATAGTTAGTTCATTAGTTAATTGCTGCTGCAGAGCCAGCAGGGAGGCCCAGAATACATTTTATAGATACAGCAATACAAAAATAGTAGTTTATTATTACAGCTCTGCAATGCAGTGCTGATTTAAACCCCCTACATTTATAGCTTTTAGAGGGTGTATTCCATCCAAATGTGAAAGTTTTAAGGGTGATCAAGTACTCTAACATCACTTACTTCGGTTACAATTCTATCTAATTCACTTAAGCTATCATGATTCAAAACTTCTTTTGCAACCCCTACTATTTTCCACAGATACAAAACATAATTCAGAGTTGTAACTTTGAATTTGAAACCACGAAGTTGATTTAACCCTACTCAACATCTGAAAAACCAGTACATACAAAATTGTGTGTTGTGAGTGGCACGTTCTCCAAGACTTCCACATGCAACTCCTCCCCCGTGAGCCACGAAATGTCAGTGTCCCAGCCAATTGGCTTCTTCTCTCTAAAATGTAAATAAGCCTTTATGAATAATAATAGTAATAATAATAATGGTAACAATAATAATAATGATAATAATAACAACAACAACAACAATAATAATAATAACAACACCTTTTTTATTAGCACCAGTGCAGGAGGTCTGCAAGGGCTGAAGATGTGAGATCAGGTAGAAAACTGAACTGCAGGGATTTGCTACCTAGTCTCCAGTGGCAGGAAACATTAAAAGCAGGACATTAAGCTCAGTGCTTACTGAGGAAAGCACACCTTCCCTGGCCAAACTGTATGAAAAAAACCACACTTTTTCCAATCAGCTTCAGTAGTGGCTGAATCCTTGGTTCCAAGGTGACAGGTAACTTTCTGATCAAATCAAATGCTTGTGAAAATACCTGTTCCATAAGAGTTCCAAAGAGATGGCTAACTTTGTGCATTAAGATAACCTACAAGCTGGAAATTATTTTGTTTCCCCAAGAAAAACTCTCTTCAGTTAAGAATTCACTATAACCCAGTCAAATAACCCCCAAAACTTAATGAAACCGATTTAATACTTGTTTGGTTAGCATGAGTTTGATTAATGAATCAGCTAGCAGTCTGTAAGTTCATATTACTCTACATTATGCCCATTCTTGAAGTTATTTAATCTTTTTCTAGGAGTCTGTTCTTTTTAGACATGTCTTCAAGGCACAAGTTGATTTAGTGCAAAGTATCCTATCATTCTGAACTTTGAAAACAACTTCCACAGTTCTTGGACAGAATCAGCCACACTGGGTAACTCCAAGAGAGATTTGATGAGCAAAAACCATCACACACAAACCATACCCATCTTGTATTCTGTAAACAGCACAGCACTCTGGAATAAGACCTCTCATCATCAGCGCTTTCTTTAGGCTGTCTCGGACTGTCACTCCACATCTTGCTGGAACCTAGAGGTCAAATAGAAAAGAAATTAATTCAAACAAGTACCAATTTATCCCCCCATACCGACACAAACATTGTGACCTCCAAATGGTAACCCCCACTTTTCATGATGTTTTACAGAATGCCAGGTAAGAGTTTCTCAAAATCTCTTTCTACTATGGACAATTTTATTGGTGAATAGTAAATAAGCGATTTAGCTCAGCTAGAAAGGAAACAAGCTTTACATTTCTACTAACATCTGGCATGAAATCTTGACCCAACTCCAAAAGTGACTTTCTAACTCTTCTCAACTTGAAGAAAGCGGAGACACAGCATGCACATAGCTAGTAACTACGTACTTCTACAAAAAGTTCAGTCCAAGCTGTAAAATTGAGGAAACATGCCAAGGAATTAAAATGAAAGAACTAACTTGGAGTGCACTCAAAAAAACATTATGATTAAATGTAAACATTTTATTTTCTATTTCTAGAAGAGAAGATAAGCATGCAAACAAGTAAAACAATCATCTGAGTCAGGCAGACCATTACCTCTCACTTTAACCTATATTTGCAACTCTACACTCACTTCCTATTGGGAAAACATACTCCTCTCTTCTGTTTCACTGTTTGAAAAGTTTAAATATCTAGCAGGATGGGAAGAACGGAGAAGCATATTAAAACTATCCAAACAAAGAAATGCAAACTTTGAAAAGTAAATGTATTTTCCTTGCCTCTATTCTAGTTGTAGGCATAGGAATAAGCATATCATCTCTAGGTATACCTGTGACTTACCAATGTATAGCGTCAAGCCATAAAAACAGAACAATACATAATCTGGTGATTAAGTGTAGTTAAGGTGTTGAGTATTACCCACTTACTATTTCTAGAACTCAAGAGTGAAAATCTGTAACACTTCAGGTGGTATACACACTGGGACATCTGCTGTAATCATGGACAGCACCTCAAACATGAATCAAAAGAAAAACCCACAGACTTAACTAACCAAAAAAGTCTGTCTGAACACCTGAGACTTAATTCTAACTTGCTAGTGGCCTAAGCCAGAGTCCTTGGTAGGCAAAAGCAGTCTCTTAATCAGCTTCAACTGGCTTTGGATTGGAGCCTAGTTTTTGCTCCTTGCACTTCAATTTCCATGGGTATTTAGGGGCCCTGTGTCCTACTTAAGGGTGACAGTGAGAAGCAGCAGTCTATTTCAAGTAGCTTTGTGAACACCACTTGAGGTTACGCTATATATTGCATTTCTAGAACTCCAACGTATGCTCTTCTGAGAAGAGACAAATTAAAGGATTATTTTGCTTCACAATCTTCCTCCTATTAATATGAAAGCACTTCTTACAGGATATTTGTGCATTTCATCTGGTCAACACTTAAACATCTAAAAAAGATAATTTCTACTAATTCTAAACCTCCTATAGCATGCTTCTTTACAGTCTAGATATTGAGCCTTAAGTGACTTTGTTTTATGCATTCCATTACTTCTTAATGCATCTTTTCATTATAACTTCTTCCCATCCTAGAAGTTAACACTGTGACTTTCACTCACTTGTAGGTCATTCCTCCAGCATAAAACATCCTTAATTGTTACTAATATCTGTCACTAGTATTAAGAGGGAGCCTGGGTGCACCTACTATTGTCAGTGTCATCAACAACTTTCCATTGTAAAACTCAGTCCTTTGTTACTCAAGTCTCTACCAAACTAGGATAGTTGGTTAATAGGGTCCTTCTGTGACCGGTACCCCCTGCTCCCAACCCCTGGCAATATGGTCAGCATAACCAGCATCATCTTCTGAGGCAAGCAGACATCTCTGTGACGAAGTGGGTCACGTATTCATTCTCTTTCCCCTCATTATCAGGCCCTAAAGGTCCTGTGAATGAGGTAGACAAACCAAAAAGATTTCTTCTTTCCCTCCTTTAGCCTCAAGGTTCCTGGGTGCAAGGCTGCCTATTCCATTCCTTGCTGGCCTTGAAGGTTCCAGGCACCCAGGGCCACCAGGTGGTGGTGGTGGTGGAGGTGGTGGCCCTGTCACAGAACAGGGAAGCTTAACAGCACCCAGAGCACTGTCTATAAAACCGAGCAGGTACTACACATAAGGCTGGAATTTGGACTGGGCCTGGTGCTGTACAGTGAGACCCAGGACCAGCCAGTTCCAGGTATGCCTCCACCATCCTTTGCTTCCTCTGAGGATTAAGGGAATGACTTGTATTCTTTTATATGAATTTTGAGTCCAGACTGTGATTGTTATATTGATACAGCAAATCACGTAGTAAAGATTTGGCTTGATCTGCAGAGAGTCCAGCTGATTAGATGTTATAATATAAATTCTGTATTTCCCCACTTATAAATTGTATAACACTGATTCTGATTTGTAGAAATTCTGTGCTATACTAATCACAATATCCTGTTAAGAAAATAAAGCTTTGAAATTAACGCTTTAATTGTAACTACAATTTAGTGCCATCATCATTTTGCCAATGATCCCTAAGAGAACTTGGTGTCCCCTCAGTGTCAGATGACAAGTTCTCCCTGCCTCCAACATACATATTTACAAATACGGAGTAAATATTTAAGAACTTGAGTAAAATCTGTGAGGATTTCAGAGGTGTGCTCCAACCCCACGCACGCACCAGGTCTAATGAGCGATTTCGATGGAGGAAACAAGTGTTCTTTGCCTTAAGGCTGTTTTTCCTGTAAGTACAGCTCCTGCTGGATTGAGGTAGAGCCTCCACAGACATGTCAGGTCTACCTTTCCAGCAACCTCACACCACTGATATCCACAGTGGAAGAAGAAATTCAGACACTGAGAGGATGACAGACAGACCTTGGAGGGGTGGGCAAATGAAGAGAGCCAGGAAAGCAGCTGGGCATGAAGGAGAAATGGGAGGAAAGAGGCAGGACAAACTTAATACTGACCAGGGAAAGCATGTGTATACCGGGAGAGAGCATCACCATCAAGCAGGACAGAGGGAAGACAGACTGAAGAGCTAAATGAGGCAGAGTGCAGAAAACAAAGAAACAATGAACTATCACGTAGGGGGAGCTGGGGAGGCAATCACATCCTGAATATGAAACTTTCATGCTGTGATTAGAAGAAAAGATGGCTCATTTTGGATAAGAAGCACCACAGGGAAGGGAGTGCCTATGAGAAGTGCTAGAACTGAGCACAGAAAGGGGAGAAAACTTCAAGACAGTAAGGACTAAAAGAAACCAGGTATTAAAATCTAGACCTGGGTGAAGGAACAGAACAGGACAAGCAGTGAAAGATGACTAACATTAAACAAGAGATGAAGAGAAAAAGTGAAGGAGCCTTGTACTCATTGGAAGATACTTTCTTCCTTCAGCACTGATCCTCCATAAAAGGTGACAACAGTACCCTCCAGTACCTCATGAAGCAAAGATCTGCATCAGGAACCTAGAAATTCCAGCTCTATTAATGAATTACACTGGTTTAAATAATGCCACTTCAGCTGATTTTTTTTCTTTTAATTTTGCTGAAAACAAAAAAGACTCATGAAGTTACAGGCTTCCTTTTAAGAGATTAATAAAATCATAAAGGCAAGCTCCCAAAATTTGGAAAGTATCAGTGAAGGTTGCCTACAGCAATGCAAGTGCATCAGGACTATGAAAAACATGCATTAAGCATCTTGCTCACTTATAATTTGCTATTTCTCAGTATTACTTCCCAAGACCCCTTAATTAAAGTCTGAGACGTATTTATGCAACTTGCAATTAGAAACATGGATAGAACATTTGTTCTCTTCACTGCCATTTGCAACAAGATCCAACTAAAAAAAACCCCCAAAAAAACAGTTAGGGAACTGTTTTGATTACTTTCAAAAATCACCAGGACCCTGAATCAGCATCACATTTAGCATGTTCTCTTACAGAACTCCTGAGCAGAGAAACATAAGGCTAAATTAAAAGAACTAAATACTAGAATAAATCCCTGTAGTACTGATTAATCATTTTCTCAGACTGGTACAGTACGGCCTATCACCATCTGTGCACGCAGCCCCTCCAGCACCCTCCTTCAGTCCCTATCAGCACCTGCTACAAAGCAGAAATCCCACCCTGCAAAGCATTCCCTCTACAATCCTCTCTTCCCCCCTCCCGCCCCTCTGCCCCCCATCCTCTTCTCACACTTAAATCACAGTAAAGCTAAAGAAAAATCCCACTCTGAGAAAGCGATTTGGAAAGTGACTCAATCTTAGGAAAGAAAACCAAACAAAGAACAAGTTCTTTTTTTTCCCTGCTAGCAGACAGGCTCCCTGAGGCAGGATTTTCAGGACAGCCTCCTACTCACCCCAGCTAGAAAGAGGGCTCCACAGCATGGGAGCATGGGGAGCAGGAACCCCGGCATGGTGCAGTCCCGCAGCCTGTTGAGCCCTTGGGTGCCTGCCGGGAGCCAGCAGCTCCAGCTCAGGAGGAGGCAGGCACCTGTGGGTGTATCAATCCCAGAGAGCATTGACAGGATTCCCACAGAACTTTTTAAGCAAATCACATCAGCATTTTTGACAGAATCGGTTCCTCATGAGACCCCACTGGCAGTCCTGTGTTCAGCTCTGGGGCCCTCAACATAAAGACATGGACTTGCTCAAGTGAGTCCAGAGGAGGTCATAAAGATGCTCATAGGGCTGGAGCACCTCTTCTATGGAGACAGCCTGAGAGAGCTGGGTTTGTTCAGCCTGGAGAAGACTCCAGGGAGACCTTGGAGCAGCTTCCAGTGCCTAAAGGGACCTACAAGAAATCTGGAGAGGGACTTTTTACAAGAGCATGTAGTGACAGGACAATGGGGAATGGCTTTAAACTGGATGAGGTGAGATCTAGATTAGATATTAGGGAGAAATTCTTCACTATGAGGGTGGTGAGGCACTGGCACAGGTTGCCCAGAGAAGCTGTGGCTGCCCCATCCCTGGCAGTGTTCAAGGTCAGGTTGGACATGGAGGCTTGGAGCAACCTGATCTAGTGGAAGGTGTCCCTGTCTGTGGCTGGGGGTTGGAACTGGATGAG